GAAGAGGAGATGGAAGGAGGCATAATGACTTACTCGATTTTCACCATTAGTGTTTGATCTCTGCAATAGACAAACAACTGATTGTAAGCTTATCCTTGAATCTAACCGAGTGTTCTGAATCCCTTGGAGCCATTTGATAATAGCAACATCTTACCATCTCACCACTCATTCACCCGTCCATAATGATCGAGTTAAACTTTAAACTATTGCTGCTACTTGCATTCACAAACTGGTTTCCTGGAACTCTCTGAGACATCCCGTCTATCGGCGATCCCAAGGTATATTGAACTGCATTTGCCAATTCAATCCAATGTCATGTGATAAATAAAAGTCTCCTTGGCCAGCTTCAAACTTGTTCATGAGCTTTCAAGCTCTCTGAAATTCCGCCACACCTAACATTCCATTTTTAATCGCAGTTTCTAAATCGTAAGATTTGTCGACCACTCTCTGATATCGATATTTCAGTCGCTCTCCATCATCATACTCAAGCAGTATTGCTCGGAGCCATATTTACTGCCACGGCACTGACCGTTGTTAACAAGGCAGCCGAATCCCTTTCAAAGTTCATCATATCCTTACCATTACATCGACTACTATTTTTGCTCGGTCTGCATTTATCTCTGGCCATGATTGCTTCAGATTAACAGTTTTTCGTAAACAATCTTTCTAAAAAATAATGTAAAGTTGCTAAAAATCTTTATTTCTCTTCACTTCTCCACTGCGTCATCTCCATCCCAACAATTAATTAATAAGCATACTTCACTTTTCAATTAGAGGCATGCGCTAGATGACCCCGTTCCTACCAACTCGCTTACATTGAGAAGTGCTATTACGATTCCAAACAATCACACCATCATCAAATCAAATCCTTTTAATTTTTATCTTCATTTCGCTTCTAATCAGAACGGCACGCCAGTCGTTGTTAAGCTCACTTTTCTCTTATCCAGCCATTACACAGCTTTCAGAAATATATAAGTTCTCGTATTTCCTTGGAATAAGTCCCATGCGTCAGATTACTTCAACCTCCAGGTGTTCATATGCAATGGCATTTTCAATCTATATAAATTCAAGTTTTGTCTTTATCGAGACTAAAAGTATTGCCTAAATGGGGCCGTAAGTATATTTATCTAGCCTAATTATTCGAATTTGTGAAATTGTTTTTCCACTCACATAACCTCCAAACTACATATTTAGCGTACTGGAAATTATTCGACATAATTCAAAAAATTTAAATTCATCTGAAAGTTAATAAAAAGAAGAGGAAGTCATCCAACCCTTAGCAGAAATAAATTTTGCAAACAAGAAAGGGTTAAAGTGACCTATATGAATTGAAGTGTAACGTATTGACAAACCCAGAAGTATTCACAATAAATAGACTGTTAAGCATTTTCCTTTCATCAGGACATATCCATCAGCAAGGATAACAACGAGTCTAACAAAAGTGATTTTCTCCACCTGCGATCTCCGCAAGCATTCGCCACCAAATCTTACGAGAATCGTAACACTGCTGAAAAGACCCAGTTGAAGTTGTCTAATCGTAACAGTAACTTTGTCGGAGCTATCATTATTTATCATTAATTATGACCACGAATTTTGTTAAAATGTACATACTTCTGAAATTTACACAGAAAAGATTGTGTATAAAAACACAGCAACAAAATTTTATTCACAATTTACATCGTACTGGATAAAACTCACGATAAACTTCGAAAAAAAAGAATGAAGACATATCAGTTTATCCCAAAATGTTATAACCTGCAGAATCACTCAATATATTAAGCGTTAAGCATTGTCTGAAAGGCAACTAACAAATTTATATACGTCAATAATTTCGAAAACTTCATACAAATTTTAAAATCAAATACCTGCTTTCTCTAATAAACAAACAGTAACAATGAAGAATCCTCATAAGTGAATGAAAAAAAAACTTCCAGCAGATTTTAAAACGTGTAGACATCCGAATGTAAAATGTTTGATTCGAAATAAATTTCAAAATTTGTGGCCCACATCGACATTTTGCATTTCCGGAATAACGGGACAACCCAAAAAAACAAATAATCAGGACTAGAATTTCACCGCTATAACATTCTTGGATTTAAAAAATATGCAAATAGTTATTATTTAAAGATTATTTAAAGATGAATTTAAAGTAGTATGTTGAGCAGATAAATTGTTCATATTTTGTAATAGGATTTCATTTGTCCGAGGAAACACTCCATGTAACATTTCTTCATCTTTTAAAAGAGAATGGAAAGATAACTGTTGCCTTGAATCCATGTTTCTTTCAAAGAATGAATAATTTGGGCATTCTGGAATCCCCAAAGACGTCAAACGGAGGTCTGATTGAAGCCGCCGAAATCCATTTTTATTCACCGCTGCTGACCAAAGAGATGACTGTTGCATCGAATTCCTGCTATAAAAATAATTAGGCACTAATTTAATAAACAAAAAAAGTTATGCATAACTTCGTAATAAAATTTCAAAGAGAAATACTATTAGCCAACTCCCAATCATTTAATCTGTATTCATGTAACTGCCGACAATTCATTCGTACGTAACTACTTTTTACTAGAAAGATTTAGGAATAATCAAAAATAAAAATTCCTAATGAAAGTGTCACGCAACTTACTGTTCGAAATTGATTCCTGCTGCATTACCACCATATTGTTCGAAACCATTTCGAAACTGCCGCGTTATGTTATGTCTCCTATTTCTACATTTTGACCGACCACGCTTTGACGAATATCGTGCTTTCTTGTTTTTAGGGCTATCAAACATATGCTGACCTAAATATATACTGTGAAGTAAAGTGCTGATTTGAAGCGTAAGCATAACATTTTGCTGCAAATTTAAAATGTATATCGAACGACACCACAAGTTGAATTAAAAACTTAAAAGCCATTAATAGAAAAAGGTATCATTCTCATAAGAGTCACTAAGTAAATAATGTCTAACATGCAAATCTATCCACCTCTATAGACCTTCAGAGATCGATGCTTCGCTTTATACCGTTGTTCAGTTTCATCATCACTAAATGCTAGCATGTCATCAGGACATTCACCTTCACCATCCCAACAGCCATCAGTTGCCTTCTCTCTGAAAAATAATTTTGTCTACTAACAGTTACCTTCCCCTCCACTTAAGTCAACCACTACTTACTGTGTTATGATTCAGAATCCTCATGCAAACAAACTAATAAAGAAAAAAATGGTAATAAGTGACTGACCAAATACTTATTATTGCATGTTCACTTGCGATGTTACGCAGTACTATCTCAAAAACTGTCACTGCTACAAGTCACACTCTATGAAATATTTCTTTACTTTGACAGTCACCATTACTACCATCAAAACATCTTTGGTTTTCACTTTAATACTTTCAATCTTATCAAATTTAACCGTGTTCATTCAAATAATGAAAAACTTGCTGTCTCAACTTCTCCGTGAATATTGCATGAGTGAACTGGGAAGCAGCTGGGGCATAGTACATTGCACTACCCACTCTCCTCTCATTTGCTTCCTTAATATCGTTAAAAAGAATTGCATACATTGGTTTAGCAACCGGCCCGAAAATGTCAAATATCTAAAACAATGCAATAATCAACCATCATCCATTTAAGAATTTCCTAAATAAAACCGCAATAATGGAGAAAGAAAGTTCGATTTACTCCGCAACTTGAAGACGAAAGCGAGTAAAGATCATACCAAGATAATACTGATAAGGTATACATCACAGTAATCTAAAACATCTTATATCTAAGTCTCATAATGATAAAAGAATGTGAAAATAATTTCGCTGAAAACAAAATTTTAACAGTTTGTTAAGGAGTTCTACCAAAAGTCCTTCACTATCTGTTTTTGCCCTTATTTGTTTTGATATGAAGAAAGAAAAGTACAAACCCGTCCCACAGCGTTGCGCTCAGCATCGAAAATTACAGTATCAAAATCAAGTGCAATATTTGAATTAGCTTCAATCACTACTGAAATAGGAGAGAAGTTGCATTATATTACACTACACAATGCTTATGAATTACTACGATCGTGATATCTACGTAGTTGATTCCACAAATAATATAAAAGAACACTTTGAAAATCACAAATGCTCCCATATTACTAAGATGATAAGTGTCTAACAATAAAAGGCTCATTCTCAGTTTATTTTGTAATGATGTATTTGAGAATATAATCACTAATTACAGATAAAGTTCACGATAATGAGTATAGAATAACGATAATGAGAAATTATACTATATCCTGAAATTTTTACTTAATCTGTCGACGATATTCACAATTCTTCCAAACTGTTCCAGTAGAATATCTTCCTCCACATGAATCCTGAGCTCCTCGATAGCAGGCATAATATCATACTCATGCTCAACAGGTTTTGCATTTGTTTTCGCTGAAACTGCAACTTCTATATCATCATCTTCCTCATCTCTTTGCAGTGATATTTGTCGTCGAATACTTTTCAAAATTCTAAAAAGAAAAGACCTAAAATTGATTGTGAGACATCAAGTCTATATTATTCAAACCTGTTTGACCAAATGTTGTTCGAAACTTAAACTTACAGTTAAAGATTTAAACTTATCTGGTATTCAGTACTAATGAACAAAATAAAAAAAATCTATATTTGTCAATCAAGTATTAAAAGCCATTTGAAACCGCTACTGAAAAATGAATTCATCACAGAGAGTTCGCTAAAACAAATCCTCACCAAAACTTATTTAAAATGCATAAAATTACTCTACCTAATTAAACAAAATTCCTCCACAAAACAAATTCATCAAAGCTAATTTTTTTAATTCACGGACAATATCAAATATGTTTCCAAATCAATGTGGTTCAGTATTAAGTAAAAAAGGAAACAAACCTATCGAATTCATCATCCGAACTATCACTGCTCGAATGAACAGCAAATGCGCTTTCCGAAAATTTATCATTGTTTCTTGCGGAATGATCGATTCTAAAACAGTATAATACTTGGAAGAAAATTCTGCTATGGCCGGGAAAACAAAAAAACTATTACATTAATCAAAATTTTGAATGCTTTAGCAAACCTAAAACTTGTTGGATCGACAATATTGGAACGATCAAAAGGGTAATCGAACGACATACATCCCCTACATATCAAATCAACGATATTGGTTACAATTTCTGCAATAACTGCCTTCAGCAGGTCATTCTGAAATGAACTTCTCTTTGTGATTGAGGCAATCAATGTGTAGAAAGTTCTCATAATACTGGCCAAAACTAGCAAAATCTTTTAAGCTTTCCTTGGCTTCACATAATTGTCATATCCTTCCCCCCGTCATACAATTTCAAGCGACATTGCGCTGCAACGTACCGAATATGAAACAACCTAAAAGAGCAAAAAGAAAAAACCTTGCCAACTTCGTTATTCACATGTACCATTTGTACCTTACTTTTGCAATCATTCAAAGCAATAATTTCACTAGAATTCATATGACCTGGAATGAGAGATCCGAAAATGAATGAAACACTTAATGGCGTACATCACTGTTCCTTCTTTCCTCCTTTAATGTGTAAAATATTCAAGTAATACAAGTTCAACGCATCCGACATGTTTTTATTAGTTATGTTTTCGGCTATGTTTTTATAATTCAGGCGTCATTATTACATGTCAAGATGATTAATTACAAAGTATGCGTCAAGGTATTGTTGGAAACTGATTTAATACGTTCACAAACTGAACATTATAAAGTATATGATTTAAGATTATAATGTAATGTTATGAATAATAAGATGCATGTACTACGCGTATTGGATATAACTGTTACACAATAACTTCAAGCACAATACTAATTCTTCCTATGAATCAGAAATTTTCAGAAAAAAAAATCTGAAAAGAGTAGACAAAACATAAGTTCGGGGAAAATAAGCTACTATTCAAAGATCTCGAGAACCGAAAAACCTGGAATTCACAAGGAACCTTTCTAACAAATGAACATGTGTTCAGAGCATCACGCGTTCACGCGGTCCCACTGAGTACTGATACGACGGAGCTCGTCTCAACAACTCCATTCTGATCTGCTGGTTGGGTGCGAGACTTGGCCCTATTCTAATCGGAAGATGAAGGCCGGGTGGCTGTTTCGGGATGGGGATCGTAAGTTGGATGCAGTGACTTGCTGCTCTCATACTTGCAGAGTTGTTAGGTATCTGCTGATCTGATTATTTCATGACATATTTGGCATTACTCGTTTTGCTCACCTCACTTTATCAGCGTATTATCTTACATCTCACGTGCTCCACATAATGAATTCAACTCATTTTTCTAGTCACGCAGATTATGTATAGAACGCATTTGTATCCTATTTAATGCTGGCAAGTTCATCCTAAATTGCCATTTATTACTTGGATACTATCAGTTATTTGTTTTCCAAAAATTTGTGACAAACAAAAATTTTTGGTCGATTTTTGCAGAATGTCGGATGTGCGGAAGCGTGAAAAGTTGGAGAATCGAGAAGGTCAATTGGAATCGTCGTCACCCGCGGCTGTCGTGATGGTGCCTCCGATCGTTGATTATGGTAGTGCTGCGGCATATGCGGTTGAGTTACGTAAATGGTTATTCACGACTCACTGCTGGGCATTTTGTCACCAAATGGCAACCATGCATTCATTAGCATATCTGGCATCATGTAACCGTCCGGAAAGCATGGTACCTCCGATGCCATTCGATGTCACGATACCACCACCAAATGCTCCTTCATCGACCGCTAATCTATCAAATTCAAATCAATTCATCCAGCGTCGCTCGATTCCGTCCTTTACACGACGTATCCTTGCGGAAGTTATCGATTCTATTTTTGCATTTGTCGCAAAATTATTTATTGTCTATTTCTTGGTGGAAATTGGTATTGTGTAAGTGTCATTCCTATTCACTTTCTTCATAGTGATAAATATATGATAGATTATTTTGCCTATGGCATTTCTTTCTCTTACTTTTCATCTTTAAAAAGCAGTAACACTATTTGACAAAAAAATATTACTCAAAATTATTACAATAGCAAAATTACACGGTGATGATAAGATACAAAAGCATTAGTAGATAAAATAAGTACTAAAGAGCTCCTTGACGTTGCTGAGATTGCTTCAATACGCGATATTTCTAGGGATCTCGATAAATACGACCGATTATTGGGTGATGACGCTGACTTGCATACCTTGATCGACATAACCCAAGAACTGTTTCCTATTGAAATGCTCGCAAAAGTCGTCGTTAGTATTGTGGAGGTAGTGCATTTCAGTTTCATTTTTCTTTCATTAATGTTATAGAAATATTTAGGAGGAAGGAAAATTTAAAGCACAAACGAACTTAGCTGTTACCAGCTATAATTATTCGAATTTAGATTTTTCATATTTCCTTTCCCAGATACGTTTACTTTCACTGGGACATAAAAAGGTCGCACTGTAATGCTGTAGATTGTCATAGACATTAAACCAATTATTAATTAATTTGAAGCATATCTTTTCATTTCATTTTTGCTGTAGATTATCACAATCACAAATTTTTGCTTGTTGCAGGCCTTATTTGTATCATATGGTTTTGGATCAGTACCTGCTGGACAAACACCGGGGAAGGTTGCGTTAAATATTCAAGTGATTACTTGTTATCAAGTGATACCGATAACGGGTAGTGAAGAAGTGAATATCGTCCGGACGCTCGGTGTTCCGTTCAAAAAGTTAGTTCTTTTTCTGTGTACTGGTGAATTTCCTTGTTAATGTAATAATGGTTTAATTTAATATTCTATGACATAATGGAACACTTCCGCTTTAAAAATCTTTCGGCATTAAGATACTTATTCATATATAAGACATATATCTCACAGCACGCTCGCACTACATTGAGGAATTCTTACCAGTTTGCCCATTAATGATTTGCTCCGTAAATCTCCTAACAACAAATATTCCAGTTCTTTACTACGATCACTAACGAAGAACATGCTTATCAATTTACTTTTTCCGCTCAGTGCAGCAGCTTATGCATTTACTTATAATCGTGCTGGCTACGATATTGCTGCAAGAACAATCGTTGTTAATGCTTGAAAACATTTTCGATTGTTTTTTATTACTTTGCACAATTTGATTACAATATAAAGATTGTATAAACAAAATCAAACTATGATCATGTAGTACATGAGACCTGCTAATAATATCATCCATCCCATATCTATGTGACAAGGAAAAAGAAGTGGGATGGATCGTATGTATATCTCATTTCTTAGGTTGAACACATCGGTATGAAACAGTGAGACGACGCATTGTACTACAATGAATTTTGTAAAACAACAATCGGTACCACTTGGTGCTTCTTAATCTATTGTGAAGAGTGTAAGCTCAACATGATCCGTCATTTTATACCAAAATATTTTCCTTGTCTTTCCTCACTGCACTTCAGTATGATCGATTTTCTTGTTCCTTGCTGCTCCATGAACTACTCTCTAATCGGAATGCAGTACTCAGATCAAGCAGTCATCCTCTGAATCGCTTTTCTTAGAAGATAAAAGATACCAGAAACATCGTTTCTTCCTATTTAACTCATTAATGAATCAAGCACACTCCATAAACTAAATAGTTATTTGAATAACACCAAGAAAAATTGAATCAACGAATTGGTGGTGATGGCACTGGCTGTATGATACGTTGTTTTTGTTGGTAGACTTGACGAGCGATATTACGCTGCAAGCGGCTCAATCGATCATGTACATTTTGCAAAACATTCCCAACAACTGTAACTCGTTTTTTGGAATCATCCAACTTTCGCACATAGAAGTCTAAATCATATGGTGCTTGTTGCTCATCCGAAATTTCTTTCAAATCTGTAAACAACTATGAAAGTTTGTTTCACTGATCTTCTCTTTTAAATCGTCACCTCTATAATGCTTCTGGAATAAGAAGTTGTTGGCAATTATTTATATCTACATTGCATTGCGCAATTTTCTTGATCATAATTCCTCGTTCTGCACACTTTTGCTCACTCCTTATTAAGGTAGTAATACTCAGCTAGTTTACAGTTATTAAAATATCTTCAACGGGGAAAGGTTATTAGCTTTACATCAATTCATTTCTGAAGATGATCAGAAACCAGTAACTTACATTGCGCCAGTTCTCGGATATGCATATTCAAGGTGTATTGACTAGCACGCGCCTGATGAACCTGATTGTCGAGACGTTCTACTGCCGGTTGGACAATCCCCATAATTCCATTACTCAACAGCATAGCAGCACTACCTTGAACCACTTCATCTGGACTTGATTCCGTCATTTAATCTTTTTTAAACAAATAAACTGAAACTTCAATTTATCAAAGCGAAAAGTAATGAAGTGAAAGATAAATCCGGTATTCAATTGCGAAACCCTCGCATCATTGGTAAGCAGCAGTACCACAAAGAGTTATACAAAATTCTAACCCTTCACTACTTGTATAAGATTATTTTTTACTATGAATAATACTTATGCTATACAATATCTACCAAGATCCAATTAAATTTCCAATGACAGGATCAATAACTTTCTGGTCAAGGCATTATTTATTGAAATCAAACACGGCCAAAAAGAGGCAAGCTCTTAAACTTTTTTTTATCACTGAAATTTATATCACAAAGTCAGTAAGAGAGATAAGTACATTCGCAAAATTCAACAAAACAAGATTGGATTTATTAAAAAATTTCTTCATTCATCAGATGACAATTTTAATTCCTTCGTGAAAGACGCTGTTCAGTACTGGAAGAAGTCCTTAATCCTTCCTATCTCTATGTTAATCAACTGATTTCGGAACGTTAGAACAATTTTCTTTTACTCACATTTTACTTAAAAAATTCTTAAAACAATATATGGTAAAAAATTCGCAAAACTGCAAATATATCACTTCTTTATTTCTGCGATAGAAGCTTCATAAATAGGATTCTTTTTGAGAATTACCAAACCCTCCAGATATGGCGTCAATGAGATATCTGAAAATAAAAATATTAAGTAGCATCAAACTTTTAAACGAAGCTTGACGAAAGTGTATTTCTGGAATGTTAAACTTCGATTTATCATTTAAAAGAAAACAGTTTGTGAAAAAATACAAAATGAGAGATTTCCGAAATTATATTTAAATTGATAAAATTTGGAATTATTCGCAAATATTTCAAAATTAAAGTTCATCAGTGTGTAAAATGGTTTTTGAAAATCTTATGATTCCGGAATGCGGAAAGACTTTGAAACTTCGGTGATTCTTCCGAAAAGGCTAATAAAGAGGAATTATCCTTAATATAAAGTTAAAAAATTTAGTGATCAACACGGGTTTGTAATACGGCGTAACCTGGATGAAAAACATGAGTCCCCCTACAGAAGGTTTATCATTCAGAAAAATTAGACAGATAAAATTTCTGTGCGTGTAATAGTAAAATGCTTTATATATTTTTCTATATACTGCTTAATATCTGCTAGTCAAATGATTTGAAGGAAATCTAAAAAATCAAACTAACATTCTTCATTAGCAAGTTCAACTCTTTCACCGTAAGCCATCAAAACTGGTGTTGTGTGAGTCTGAAAACCAGTGATTGTTTTTGGTTTTCCAGCCTGAGCAACGACATCAACAGCTTGTCCCACTCGAACGCTCACATTTACCTGTTTCAAATTCTCCGGATTCATCTCATCTTCAATCAGAGTTATCAACAGTCGTGGTTGCATTGCCAAAGTCAACGAATACAGCAAATAATGCTGTCGATTGTTCAATACAGCTGTAAATGAACGGAAATATATTTCTGTAGCACCCAAAAATCAATGAAAACCAATCAATAGATTGGGAAATCACCCCAAAATCGGCATACTGAGTCGATTTTAAGATTGTGTACTCATACAAATTGTGCAATCCCATTGTGATCAAAGTTTGAATGACTCGAAATCTTAGTATAAACTCTGATCTTCTTTTTCTATAATCCAAAAAGAATAACTTACAACTATTAGCTTCCAAGAAAGCGTAACAAATAGTGAGAAGTCCAGCAACTGCTGCAGGACACATAAGTTGACGATCAGAATGGAACGGATTCAGGGTCATCGTTCCTTTACCCATATGTGTCATACCTTGAGCCAAACGCACCAACATTAAGCTTACCTAAATTATATGGATTTTAGCATAAACAGGGAAAGAAGACTACATCATCATGAAATATTAAACAGAATAACCAGGACAAGAGCAAGCCCAGTCAATTTCAGAAAACATTAAGTTATGCTATTTGGAACTCCCAATAAATCCAAATTTATTTGTTACTCTATTTAACGGAGGTGCACCGAATTAAGAGCAGCACATAAATTGCACAAAAATTGTTTGATACTGTATACAACAGCGTTTGACATAATTCAATCACCAATAAGTGGTACATGGTAACGAATAATTCAATGAAACTGACAAAATATTCTTACTTGATCTTTGTGATGATAACTTGCAAGCTGTCGTAACATGGAAACAAGCCTTGCATTGTTGGTACCAGCACCTACCAGACCCATCGCAAAGATTGCATTGTGAGCTGTTTCTACATCAGCATCATGTGAAAACTTTGAGAGTGATTCCAAAATGGAAAGTTGCGGATTAGAAGTACTAATTAAAGCCAATGCCAGCGGTACTGCACGTCTGATAACTGGTTCGCCGTAACGAATCTGAAAGATTTCGTCACTATCTCATTCAAAAAACAGCGCCAAAACCCGAATCAACGAATGAATTAAGTGGCAACGAAATATTTCAATACACAGTGGAATTCGCACGAAGAAAAATCACATAATATAATTATTTGCAGACAATATTTCAAAATATCTACCAAATGTCCGAACATCCTCAGGCTCATCTGTGCTCCAATTTCTTCACCCATAGCGATAAGACCAATACCAAGTACAGCAACCGCCTGTTGTGTCGAATAATCCGGCTTTTCGCTCGAGGCATCACCTTCTTTTTTAGTATCACTTTTGTCTTCTTTATTTGTCTGAAGTACAAAACAGTAATTATATTACAAAATCAATCATGGTCGTGATGAAAAAATAAACAATAAATGCAAATGTTAATGTTTACGAAGAAAATGCCTCTTAGTCATAAGAACTACAAAAGAGTGTCATATTTCACCATGATTTTTTTTTAAATTATTTTCTTTCTAAAGCTAATCTCATATACAAACAGTGCAAATGTTGTCTTCATAATTTTTTTCATTCTCATAAAAAATAATTTTTATTTTAACTAATACAATAATCTTTGTTCCAACTAATACAGTTCTCGGCACCTATTCCATTGGATCATATCTTTTTTTAATTTCGACGACGTAGAAACTAATTCATTTCACAACACCTCCGCTATCAGTATGCCATCATTAAGAAAAAAAAAATTTTCCGCTACACTAATATGTAATACTACTGTTCGAGTCAAGTATACTTTGGCTCAAGTTCGTTTTTATTAACAGTAATATAGCGTTGCAATAATATCGATTAAAACGAATGAGTAGAAGATACACAACTGTAAATGGGTAGAAATACAATAATACCGATCAAGCATAACCTTTTTTTTCGCTTCCTTGGTCTCTTTGGTTTCATAATGTTCAGAACAGATATGGAGAAGCTTTTGTATTTTCAATACATTTCCAGTCCCGGCATAAGCGCATACATCAATTAGAGTTGAAAACATTGTTCCGAAAGGATCCGGCAATGCTCGCACCATTTCAACAAATACTTCACTCTTTTGCTGAGCACCTGAAGACGAAAGAGAAAGCATTACACTTTATTTCATCACTATATTGCGAGAACATAGAAAAACACATACCGAGGAAAATTAGAGCAATTCCGAGAGCGACGAAACGATAATTAGAGTCCTGCAGTTCCACTGCAGTTTTTTCATTTAGATAATTAAATAACTCGCACGCTGTTATATGATCACAAGTACCGACCAAAATGAATCCTATGGATAATGCCGCCAATCCTTTTACCTAAATGTTAATTTACTGATCACCATCCAGCAAAGTCATCGAACATGCATGATCACCTTATGATGACAAAACTGACTGCATGACAAATGTACTCTTATATCAGCCTCCTACAGAAGCTCATTTTTATTGCTTACCAAACTATTTCACCTGGTTTATCCTGTAGTACGTTGCTGATTTTCGTCATTTATTATCAGCATAAAAAAAAAAAAAACCAAAAATTACTTCTGATGTGGCAGACGGTTTTGCATCTGACAACAATTTTTTAAGCTCAAATACGACTCCACCATCTTCTTTTTTCAACACTGCGAGCCTCTTCGAATTTGCATATGCTAAACCTAGGCCAAAAATAGAGCCAATTCGCATAACTGTACGGTCACTATTTATGTGATCCATGAGTAGAGCAGCTGCTGGATCACAAGTATCTTGGATGCCTGAGGATATGATTCCTATTGCTATAAGAGTACCCGCCTGAAAAATAAATGAACTGATATGGACAGACTAATAAAAAAAATTAAACAAATGTATAGTTTTTTTTGCAGCATTGCAATGATCCACAATCCTCGTAATTTATTTTATCTTATGTCAGCTGGTAATAATTGCCGATTGATAATAATTACTCGAAGCACATCTACCTTAATAAAATCATCATTAACATAAAGGAACCGATCGCATTGTGCCAAACCAGTATCGATGTCCCATCGCCAAACTAATCCTTGACTTGCAGCTGCTGACAGCATTCCTATAAGGAAAAAAACCTAAAATCCGAAAATGCCATTGTCGAAACGTGAGATGAGCAGTGGATAGATGTGCAAGAAATAGAACAAAACCTACCATATTCTTTATTTTTATAGAACCAACGACTTGCATCTTCTGCTTCTGTCATCATTTTATCGACTCCAAAGCCAGTATTCACAAATCCGTTAACAAATGCTGCCGCCAAATTTGATCGCACACTATCTGATGCGGATGAACCAGCGAACGGTCCTGCACACATAATGATTAAAAACAAAACAGATCAGAACTAAGTTTATACTGAGAACTTATCCTTCCGTAGTACTGACCATTAACTAGTTACTTAGATATATACAAATATACAGATATGTATAAAAAATATATACAAATATACAAATATACAAAATATATAAATATACAAATATACAAAAAAAAATTTAAAACATTATTTACAAAAAACAAATACATACAAAAATTTGCTTTAAATATACAAATATACAAAAAATATACAAAAAAATTTGCTTTAATATATAAAAAAACAAAATTAGCTTTAATATACAAAAAAAAACAAAATTTGCTTTAAACATTATTATACAAAAAACAAATTGAACATTATTAAAGCAAAAATTCACGACATATACAAAAAATATACAAATATACAAAAAACAAATTTGCTTTAAAAAACACATTATTATAAGAAAGCAAATAAAAACAAAAACTCACGACTTTGTTCTAAATGGCTTTTATAGATTCCTTCCGGGGTTTTCGGCTCCATAATGTCAAGCTCTCGGGCCAGTGAGTGAAAGTACGTATGCAGATTAGCATTTGAATTTAATTCTATCAACTTTTCACCATTTTCAACACCTTCTAGATCAAGAAAAATCTGATGCCGGCCCAACAAGATAGCCATCTGCTTTTGTTCCAGTCTAAAAGAAAAATGAACAAATTTGTTGACAGTTTTCAGTTTAACTTATTCCTGAACCTCCTCAAAATATTCGAGATTGTGGTAAAATAAAATGCCTGGCAATGTCACATGTCTGGAACCATTCCTTTTGAGATGCTTTTCCTCCGTTCTTGACTCATTCTTATCTCACAAGATTTACTTGGGATTGATACCGAATACTTATTGGATTAATTATAACTTCGTCTCAAGCTGTGGTAATAGATACAACTATTGAGGTTAGCACCACCGATTTGCTCAAACTGCATAATTAAGAAAAAAATGTCATTTTGAAGAACTTATCGTTTTTTCCATTAAAAAAATTTCGCAGAAATTTTCAGTCTGATAAAAAGTTTTGTCATAAATTATTTCATCTCAAAACCAAAGTTGAACTAACTGACAGACTGTATGGATAAGTTTTACAAAGAAAGAAAAAGAACAATAAGGACTTACACATCTTTTGTGCTAAGGACTATTTCGCGCATTGTTGGGACAGTATTTAACATAATAGCACACCTCAAAGCATCGAAATTCTTGCCGAATTTGCGGTAGATATTCATCGCCGTTTTGATTAAAATCTCATTATCCGGATCTGGCATTAGTGGCGAGCAACTGAAAATAGGTATTACTGCAATAAATTAAAAAAGATTGATGCAATAATTCTTAAATATGTTGAACTAATGATTGGAGTAGGAGAGAAATCTTTCATGAAAAACCATAACTATGCAACATGTAATCGATCAAGGCTTAAACGCAGATTCGAAATGATCAACTCCTAAGTGTGTAATGGAACCGAAAGATTTCAAGATTCACATCACTGATCTTTTCTTATCGATGCATTATGAAGAAAACTGACTATATCACTTTTTTATAGCACTGCTATTGGAACTATTTAAGAGAAATAAATTACAACATACCTTAGCAAATATAAGCAAACCCGACCATGATCAACTTCTTCGACATATTCAGATAGCAGATCAAGTCTTTCAATTTCAATCAGTAAATCACACGCTTCAACTTCTGCATTATGTTTCATATTATGCAGCACAATTTCTCGAGTCAGCGTCAATAACTGTTCCCGACGCTTTTTATGAGTATCGGTACCATCACCATAAGAACGCCACTCCTCCGCCATTTCCATCGCTAAGTGCCTGAGCATATGGGATTCATTATTAACCATATATGCCATTTTACGATAAAGAAAAAAGAATCAAATTAGCCTGAAAATTTGAATATAGAAGATCTAGATTTAGCAGAAAATGCCAATATAGCAGATCTGCTTGGCTTACTCCACCTATCTCCTATCTTTATTTATTACCAATGTGCTCACCTCACATATTCATGCCCCCAATCACCGACTGGTTCATGTTTTCCCATCATGCGATAATTGATACAGTCATTTCTGTCATCTGAAGTCATCGCCAACACTGATATTATGTCCGCACAAAGCTTCTGCAATCAATTTAGAATTAAAAATTTGGTATAAAAAACGCTTCGTTCATTACCAATTTCTAATGGATGGCAAAACAGAACTTCTGCATTTGTCACTAAGTCAATGCTTTGCGGAGAAACTAAATTTCTGCTATACATCAATTCATCCATTTTAGATTTAAACAGCTTTAATTTATTAAACTGATTGGAAAAAAGGTCATTATTTGTTATCTACTACTATAGACAATTAAGAAATATAAACTACATAGCACTCTATTCACTTAATTAAATCACTTAATCAAATCCCAATTTTAGAACCTTAAATAATCTGACTAGCTTCCAATTCGGCGACAATGATACATGTTAAAAAATTATACTAAATAATAACAAGAACCAACTTTTGTAGGCCCTTCCGCCATCTTCTTATGGATTTCTTTCATTGTAGCATAATGCGGACGCATAAATTTCAACGGCTTCGGCACCGATGTCATGGAAGTTGTTGAAGCACGAATGATGCTTCGCATTGTCTCAAGTGTGGGTTGATACAACGAAATATCCGCCTCCTGGAAAAATATTTGATGATTGACCTAGACTTTAAAAAATATTTTTTTAGAATTCACTTCATAGTTTCGAGTCAATTATCGCATTATTCTAATAACACACTGTTTTCTAAATATGTGCGTCAACATTTCCGCTTTTCAAGTAATAAAATGTTTCAACTCCCTTTTTAGTTGTTGAAGCTACTTTTTATTATGCACAAACCACTTTCACTGTTCACTTTTTTCGGCATTAATGTAAACGTAAAAAAAAAGAATGATGAGAAAAACCGTACAATTAAACGTTGCAGCAACATTTCTAAATCTTCTTTCAGCTTAATATCTTCCTCAGTCTGAAATGAAAAGAATCGAAAGAATATGGAATTATTAATTATGCTCAAAATTTCTACCAAAAGATTGGATTCATCCATAGAGAAATTATATTCTCAAGATCGAGTACATAAAATTAAAGGATCGTAAGCTTAAAGTCATATCTTTATCCAAATTTATCCCTTTTCTTTTTGTGTTAACTTGAGGAGGACCTTATAAATCTCATAATTTTACTGATCATTGCTGCTTACAGCTATCTTAAAGGCAGCCTCAACGATCTCTATCAAAGAAAACCATTGGTTAATACGCCGAAAAAATTCAAGCTAACCATTTCATCCTTTTCTTTTTTCTCTTCCTTTTCATTCTCCTTGGCATCCATACCTTTTTTCGTTCCAGTATTTTCCTTCTCAGACGCTATTCCAGTCTTCTCTTCAACCATGACTTTTTCTGGAATCATGAATTGTTAAACTGTGATACTGTGAGGAAATAAGTAATGACTCAGACAAAGAGCAAGAAGTGAGTGCACAGGAGTGTTCAAAAGTTTCTCACATATATAACACACATATTAATTGCCATCAGCTTACGTATTCCGTTGTTTTACTTTTCGAAAAACTACTTGATCGTAATCTGTAACTTATACTCTCGTATGCAAGATGACAAATTCTGCATGTAAGTTAAAAAGAATTTCATACCTTTTTACATGAAACAAAATCCTAATATTTATAAGAAGTGAAATTTTTCCCTGTGCGAAAATGAGAATAGGAATTCATATATCTAAAGATCAATGCTCATATTTTACTAGCGTCAAAATTCTCACAGGTACTTGCATGAAGTAAAATGAAATTCTACAAGCTGGAATTTTCGCATACCTTCCAATGTAAAGCATATCTAAAGTTGAAAACTTTCACATATTCATTCAAATAAAAATTCACATACAAAATAAGAATCTCCATCTGTTTTTAAGTAAAAAAGAGAAATTTTTTTGATTCGCCAAAGCAAGGACTCTGACATCTTTTTATGTAAAGTAAAAGCCTTTTTACAAGCTTATGTGAAATTAAAATAAACTGCTACAAATAATCAAGATAATTCTCACTGACGATTTCACATGAAAAAAGTAACGTATAATTCGCTGAATCTCAACAAGATGCGTAGCATATACGAGAGACAATGAACAGCAAAGCTACGTGAACCCTCGTCGGCTGGGAAGCCCCTACCAGCTCCCACACGCAACCACGCTGGAGATGCGTTCTGCGGCCCATCATCCTGAGCAGTATTTCACGGGTGAGCTCATATTCCGACCGGGCTACGCATCGTCGTTGACGCCTGTCGTTTTACGACTGTTCACGATTTGGTTCACGTCTTCACTTTATTGATGGCTATACTTAAGGAGGAAGTACTGAGTTAGCTGTCTTCCGTTTCGTTTATCTTCGTTTTTGATTGTTGTGAAATTATATTTTTAGCACAAATTATGACTTACTAGACAAATTCGTTTTATCAGTATCGAATTGGATTTTCTAGTCGGTAATTCCGCACTTTCAAATTTTGCTGTCTTTGATAAAAAAGGAATTTTACAATGTTACCTAATTTTTGTCATAGACAGTGTGGCTATTTTACTGCGTAATATAGCAGGTGCTGTAGTAGGTCCCTTGCGACTAGTAATGTGTATCCGTTTTAATACCACTAAAAAAAAGAACGAGTATATTGTCACTTTGTCGAATATCTCTTTTTGAAATTTAATGATAAACTCCAGTTCTTTTTCGTGGATTTTATGGAAACTTTAGCATTGCATAAATTTTTGGAATTTTCGGATGTAGTCTCTGCTATTACAGAATACTTCTGATTTTTATATCCTGTTTTTCAGTGTAATGGCAACAAGAAGTCGAAGAAACACAGCAGGTAATGATTCTCTGAACCCAGCAATGATACAATTATATGATACAGGGAGATTACGTCGAGAATTGAAACAGAGAGGGCTTGATGCGACAGGCACCAGGAATGTACTTGCCGATAGACTGCAGGTCCAAAACTTTTGTCAAATATTGACGTCTCTAATTATCCCTCTCAGTGATAGGCTAGAGGACACCTCCATAGATTATAATATTTAATCCTTCGCTATCTGTAGTTAAAATGGTGATAACGATAGTTGAGATAGTAATAAATACTTCTGTAGCAGTATGACTGCTTGCATTGCAGATAACAACGAGAGTAGTGATAATACTAAAAGTAAATTTTCACCACAAGTCTTTCGAACAGAATATAATAAAACTATTTATTCAATCCATTTTAACCAAAGTCAAACTTCCGGTTTGAAGATATCGCAGAATTTTTTTACGCTGTTATATGTTATATGCATATGATAATGATTAACCTTTCAATATAATTACAGGAAGCAGTTCTTTCGGAACGTAACAGTCGACAGACATATTCTCCGTCACCGCAACCAGAAAAACCTACAAAAAGGGGAACAAGGAGATCTTTGAAGGGGGTGATTTTATTTGTTTGAAAAGGAAAGGTCTTTACTGCCATATCAGTATATAGTCTTTTTCTGGGTCAATTTAAAAAGCAAGAGATAGGCAATCCAAGGAAATTTAGTTAGATTTTTATAACCCTGGCTTACGGTAAAATCTTACTGAGATCGTCGGAAACCTGAGTTTTAAATTCGTCTTGTTCCAGGATGAAGAAAATGAAAATGAGACTGGATTGGACTCAGAGTCTATTGTCTCTCCAAAAATAAAAAAAAGTCGACATAACGAAGAAGTTGATGAGATTAATTTGATAGAAGAATCGTTTTCTATCGAACTTTCGGTACAGTTATTTCAGATCGCTTAATTTTTAATGCAGTTATTATTGAAAAATTAAAAAAATCACCACTATTCAACTGATAATATAAATAAAGCCACAATTTATTCTCACTCTACTGCTACAAATTCTTAGTTCTAAGCCCCCTCCTCTCCCTTTACTACTTACCTAATCACATTTTTTTTCCGTACTTTCCATAGATGTAACTTTTTGTAGAATATATCCTCAATTGATGAAGTACAGATGGAAGCAGAAAAGGCTTTTTCACCACAGTGCATGTCCAGTACTACCACACTTCAAGAAGAGCCATTTCATGTGGTAGAAATTGAAAGATCTCTAATACCGAACGCTGAAACAAATTCTAAATTGAAATTGATTCCGTGTGAAGTGAGAATTGCTGAAATATTTCTGTAGTTTAAAATTTAGTAAGGCGCTATTCAGTAGATGTGTATATTGATTAGGTTTGATGGATATGCAAAGTCATTGTAAGTTACTGTTGCTTTCCGTTTAATCACATTTTGACTGTTTTTTTCAAATATTTTTTTGCAGCCGGAAAAGTTGACATATATAGATGAAAGCAAACATCAGGAACTAAAGCACGAAAAAAAGGTAAATGAAAAAGCGATAGCTGAAGGGGAACTAACTAGTTCCAGTGATGATGAAGAATTAAGATGGCTTTATAAAATAAGAAGAGGAAAGAAATCTCGGAAAGTTTTACTTGAAAAAAGACATGCATTTATTGACGGTATCAGCAGAAACGAAAATGAAAGAGATGAAACTGAAGAAATTTCGACAGTAAAGCTGATTTCCGAGGAGGGTCAAATAAGTGAAAAAGAAGATGGGCGATGTGGTCGAGAACGGAGTTCAAAATCATCTTCCACAGAATCATCAAAACTAGTAAGCGCCAATGTGAATGAAAAACCAGCTAAAGCGTTGATTCAAAAGAGTTCAATTAAAATCAAATTTAAAACTAATCTTTTAAAAACCACGATTGAAAGGACATCAGAGTTAAAACGAAAGGAAGCACCATCTGACTCCCCTGGATTAATCACAAAAGACGGAAAAATGCATTCTGATGCAACGCTGGTTACTACTGCACAAATGGTAAGGATGTTGTTTACCCGACTCTATATGATTTACCAGTATGATTTAAGAGGAGCTATCAGAAATGTTCTCGAGGATGTTGATGGACATCAGAAGACAACACTGAATATTAGAATATGTCTGAAATTAGGAAAAATATAGGTTATGATCAAGAATATTAGAAAAAATATATAGATTATGATCAAGATATATTCTAATATACTGGATATTAGAATATATCTTGATCATAATCTTCAAGTTCTTTTTTATAGGAAAAAGCGAAACGTGCATTCACTCCACCATTGTCATTACCAAATGTTGAAAAATCGAAAGACCAAATTTCTCGCAAAAAGATCCCGTTAAGGATGCAAGCTCCTGTTGATGTACTGGATTCTATTTTCGACAAACAGGTAAACTCTGTAGCTTGATGCAAGGAAGATGATTTCTATTCAAAGGTTTTTCCTTTAGTTGTTGTATTTATCTATCAATAGCAATAAATGGAGCATTTAATAAAAAAGTAATGATAGAAAGTAGGAAAAAATTTTTACGTAGTTATGCGGATATTTGCTTTGATAGATTGGTTGATTTACCGATATAATTGCGAAATTGTTTCAGGCTCAGCTTTTGTCAAGCAAATATAAGACAGAACAGGAAAGAGCTTTTGAAAGACAGAAACTGGAAATGGAAAAACGGCGGCAAAACGTAATTCCTCAAATTTCTTTATTATCCTCTACATCCTCTGCAGGACAAGAGAAGCGCAGACATGTCGACTTTGTCCTTCCTTCAAAATCGGCACTAGAGCAAGGTGTCGTACAGCAACATTCGACTTGGCCATTAGCACCACATCTTCGCTCTCATCTTTCCCCATCATCGCGTCATGTTCGAGAAAGTGAGTGTACAAAGGCATTTTGAGTTTTTGTTCCTCCAAATGGATTGAAAAATTTTAATCTTATTGCCAGAACTGCACCATCGAGCATTCAATATTATTGCATTCTTTCTAATATTCTGGAAGAAATTCACAATACCAGCCGTTCTGAAATCAGTCTTTTGATAAGTTATGCTATGAATACCATGAAAATATCTTTTGTTAGTTCGTTTCAGAAATTTTATCACTGGTTTTTTCTATTCCTTGTGAGAATTACAAAAAGTTGCATCCCTTTAATAGTTAGCACTGTGGACTTCTTTCTGGGAGTTTAAATAGCGGTCGCACTATTACTTATAGAGAATGCGCTATTGGATGCTCTGGTAAATGCAACTAATCACAGCTTTCCATTCAACACAGTGTATTTTTCACTTTCCTTATTTCATTCCTCTGCAAACATTTTTGTATTTTTATTGAGAAATCAAAAATCTGTCATAGAAGACTTCTCTCTTCATGTTTATTGTATATTATATTATGGTCATTTTGTTCATCGCTTTCAGATGTTAGCATGGATGAAAAACGCTTGCTAGCGCAACTACCACCACCTCCACCGCCACCACCGTTTCTGTCTTGCTCTAAAAAAGCACCCATGCCATCCACATCAAGTAAGGATTTCGATAACGCATCAGCAATGGAATATTCGGAAAGTGAGAATGTTGAGGGAAACATAGTATCACTGATGACTCCAACTACTCCATGTTCAAGCAATTCTCCATCATCCATCAGGACTCCTCCATCAATTCCTTGTTATAGAAGCCCGTCGGAAACCTCAACTGAACTTTTGCATTCCATTGAGGCGTCTACTTCAAATGCTTCAGTTACGAAAATTGATTCGGAACGAATAAAAGAAATGGCTTCCGCTTTGCAAGCCGTATTTGCCCGTTTAGGTAATGTCCCACCACCTCCAGTTGCTCCTCAACTTGATGTAAATGAAAATGATGCAGTAGGAGAGATGAGCATATTTATGATCTCGCATCCTGCTACACTGGAGGGAAATCCCACAATTCCTAGTGCCGAAAAGCATATGACCAATGAACCAAGAAAAATCGGAGGTGGATCAGGGCATACAAACATGGTGTCTGGAAATTCAATGATTTGTGATACTGAGCATGAACCAGCATATTCGGCAGCCGTTACAGGGGGAACATCTTCAACATCAAACAATTTGCTTCAGGAAAGCGGCACTTTAACTCCGCTGCCGACAGTGTTGGCTCTAAGTGATACGACTCATTTCGTTGAGAAAGTAACTTTCACATTTGAAGTTTTGAACTATGTTTTGGGAATTAAACAAGCAATCCAAGAGACAGGATGAATGGAATGATTAGAAGAAATTTTGAGCTTATTTAATAGAACTTTTACGCATATTGAGTTACAAAGTAATTATAATTAGCTTTTTTGGTCTGATGATTTAATGAGCAATTACTGAATTAAAATAAGTGATTCTCACTTATCGTTCAGCCTTTGAAGAATCCAAATCATACAGTGCTTTTCCTTCAGTTTACGCCTTGTTTGCCAACGAAAATTGATAATGATTTCGAAGGGGAGGTCGTTGCGTCCATCGTTGAAGAAATCATATGTGCCACGGTGAACAGTGATTTTTCGATATCCAACAATCACACTGGAGATAGGAATAAAAAAGTGTCAACCGGAATTAGGGAAAGAGAAGAGCTGGAGAGGTGAGTCATCATCTGCATTATTTTATTGTTATATTTTTCAGCTGAGAAATATGCATATCTTTTGGTTTCGCTGTTAGAAGTATTAAGTTTCTGTAATTCAGAAAACCAGATATATCGGAGGATTTGTTGCGAGATCCAAGGCGCTTACTGCAGAAAGCAAGTGATGTGCTAAAAAATTTGCAATCGCTGGAAATAGCAGCTGAGCAAGCGTCTGCAGGTTTGTGCATGTGGTACAACTTTTCATTAAAGTGAGAAGATTTTTATCATATTTGCTGAATGAAGTGGTTTCAAATTTTGAATAGCTATTCACTTTGCATATCATCAGGATCATTCCTGTATGAACTGTTAAGTCACAACATTTTTACAACCATCAATTGTCCGATGGGGTGTTTTGGGCTACCCAATTTTTGTTCCAAGTATCTATCAAGTAAAGTCATCTTGGGGCACTTTTACAGTTGTGTATGTGTGATCTTCATGGTTTTCTGATGGAAGCAGATATTTTATTCCTAATATCATTCATTACAGAAAAACAAAATCAGCAGCAATATGAACAGTTACCTTTGGACGAAAAGTATGAAGAAGATGATAATGAAGACAAACCGTTGCCTGATTTCCACGGTGAACCGGTGCCTGATTCAGATGATGAGATTATAATCGAAGGTGTAGCTCGGAGAAGAACTACGAAAAAGAATACAGTACAGGAAGAGGAACCGGTACCCGGCGATGAACTAGTTGAAGTTGACTTCTGTAATCTTTTTGTGATATCTTCCATTCATGTTTAGTTAATCTTATGGTTTATATTAATTTATATTCATTTATCTATCTGATTAGCAATGTCAACTTCTTAAAACTGTGGAATTTGCTAATTGTTTGCCACTGTTATCCAAAGGTTATACTCGTTTCTCGAATGTGCTACTCAACAATTTGTTTGCTTCAAATCTTTTTGAACTAAAATGAAATGAGCGAATTTTACAGTGTGGTCTTTCAAGGCACATATTTATGATAGTTTGTTCAGACAATGCCGATTTGAATGTTAAAGCAAGTGAGACCTGTCAAGAAATCATCGATCCAGACAACGGAGATGGATTTGCTTTGATGTGGGGCGGAGCTAGGTCGACATATGGCATTCGAATTCCTCCAGATGTTGCTGATTTTCCTACTGTTATGTTTCAAATTAAGGTTTGATATTTGTCTGGCCCTTCATTTTTTCGCCTGTTGTTGTTGTTTTTTGCATAATTGTTGATCGTTTACCAAGTTTTTGTTATCAGAGTCTTTTTTTTTCTAAAACAAAGAAACAATCCTCTGTTATTGGTTACTTTTTTGTTTTGAAAGAACTCTGAAAAAGTAAGTGTCCAACCTATATTGATAAAATTCGGTATTTTTCCGTTTTTTTTTTGATTGTATGATTTACAAGTAGTTAATTTTTTTGTTTTGAAAGAAATTATATACATAGTTGATCGTTTTTTATCAGTATAGGTTGGACACTTACTTTTTAAATTCAATTAATTAAATTCAATGAATTAGCTGATTGCAGCTGTTGGACTGTTTGCCAATTAAGCATCTACCATTTGAAGAGATAGATGCCCATAATGTTCGCGTTGGATGGTCGACTCAGAATTCTACAAATATTGTTATTTTTCCTCTACATTTGACTTATAAAATTTTTTGAGTATTTTTCCGTTTTTTCTTTGTACAATTTGCAAGTAGTTAATTTTTTATATACTACATATATGATTGAGCGGTACCACTAATTATTTTCAGCTAGGAGAAGCGCCCCATTCTTATGCATACGATTTATTGGCAAAGAAAGCTACGAATAATTTTTTTACTGATTACGGTGAGCCTTGTCAAGTTGGCGACGTTGTAACTTCATGCTTGGTAAGCTTTTAAATGTCTTACTTTTCATACAGTTTTAGTATTTATGTAATGGAAAAAAAATATGTTAAGCTAACTACTCGTGAACTTTTCAGGATTTGGCATCAGGTAAAATACATTTCTGGAAAAATGTAGAATATTTGGGAGTGGCTTTTTCCGAAGTCAATTTCAGCGAAAGCGACGTTGTTTTTCCCCACATCTGTACTAAGAATTACAAACTCTCGGTTAACTACGGTGACAGCCAGTGTGAAGGATGGATGTCAGTCACCGAACTACAGAAAAGTGGAGCATTAAATACTGGAACCCCACCCATTTATTTCAGCAAATTAGACCGAACACTACTTGTTCGTGGTTCAATACCACCATCAAGCAAAAGTGAATGCACGGTAATTGAAATCATTTAACAACTCCATTGAAACTTGATAGATTCACTAGAATTCTTTTTTAGAAATACTTTCAGCTGGAATCATTGAACTTCCAGGTAGAGGATGGCCAGTACAAGTCAACTGCTACAGTTACAAATATTATCAATAAAAGAAATTTTTCAGGTTCTGATGATGGTAGGCTTGCCAGGAGTTGGCAAAACAACATGGGTGAGACAATATCTCCGTGAGCATCCACAAGAACAGTGGACTTTATTGAGTACTGACACAATACTTGCAGCAATGAAAGTAAATGGAGTACCAAGGAGTAGAGTACATCAGGTAAATATAGTAGAAGCTCTATGGTTAAAAATTATGTTCCATGTAATTTCGGGAAATTGGTTGTGTTTTATTGTTTCTAGGGTCGATGGGATATGATAATGGGACTTATTGCTAAAGCACTCAATCGTTCGTTACATTTAGCCTGTAGAAGGCGTAGAAATTATATCATTGACCAAACTAACGTCTCAAAAGAAGCAAGAAGGCGAAAGCTTTCTCAGTTCAAAGATTTTCAAGTAACTAATTTCGTTTCTTTTTTAGCTTATTAGTGGATGTTTGTCTTTTTTAGTGCTTTAAGACAAAAAAAGAGTAAATATCTAAATTGCAAGAGATATTTGCTTCTACGTCTACTTATACTTTTAACAGTAAATATTTTTTTTATCATCAAATTAAAGATTTAGTTGTTATTACTTCTATAAAATTTCTTATATTAAGTTTTGAATACTTTTAGCGCAAATGTGTTGTTATAATTCCGTCAGAAGAGGAAATGATTGCTCGACAAATGAAGCAGTCACGTATGGATGGAGCTGGACCAATACCCGTAGAAGCAATGTTGGAACTTAAAGGTAACTTTGTCACATTTTCAATTTTGAAGTGTAGATTTTAAAAAGCGAATATTAATCTATTTTCTAAATAAGAACAAATATTTTACTTAAAACCTGGGACGCCAGGATTTTATAGAAACTGGGACGGCTTTTATTCCAATTTTCTTCATAAACGGAATGATCTTTTTAAGTCTTTTTAAACGGAGTGATAAATTTACTTTTTTGTTATAAATGAACACAGAGATTTTAAATATTTTAAGCGATGTTGTCAATACCAAATGTTGAAATGGAACCGATTGAAGATGTTTTTTTCGTGGAGCCATCACTGGAACGAATTGGCGATGCTATAGATCTCGTCCTAAGGTAACTTGTAACTGAAGTGTTTGCTTTAGAATCCTTTTGTTTTACAGATGATGGTAAATTTATAATGGAATTTAAATAGATTCAATGAGGAGGCTCGCCCGTGGTGTCAGAAGCGACGAAGCCGACGGGGGGAACCATTGCGGCAGAATGATTCAAGGCTGGTGAATAATTCAAATGTTCGAATATCCAATGGTTAGTATTATTCTAATTGCTTCGAAAGTTATTATATCACAGCTTAATTAGGCTTATTCATGGAAGGAAATGCTTACTAATTTGTCATTATTTCCAGACATTTCCTCAACCACAACGAACGCAATTGTTCACGAAGGTAATCAATTAAACGGACAACCATCGCCAGCAGAGACGAGGTTATCGTGCATTTTTTACACCTCTCAGAACTTAGTTTGTCAGTAACATTTACTTAATACGTATTTCAAGATGAATAACTCTGATGTAAGTGTCGGATTGAAAAATTTTATTTACTGACGAACAAATGTCTAATATCTAAATTTTAAAAGTATTTAGAAGAATTTATAATGCACTTTGCTTGTTTAGCAGTAGATTTGCTTCATATCTAATAAATTCAGATTTTGAACTTTCGTCTACTTGAGTTTTGAAATTTCCAGTAACTCTTAGATATTTGATAGTAAACAATTACAAATAGATATATCACGCTAATTAATACTTCATTGTAGTCTACGTTTGTTTTTTCTTTTACACATTTTCATGATACCACGAATTCTTCTCAAGTTTTGGATCATCATATAAATGAAATATCGGCATAATCTGCTGATTTGCATAATTCTTTACTATCATGTATGAAATCATTTTCAGATCAAATGAGAGCTATTGCGGTTTCGATCGAGAGCCGCCACCATCATTAACATTTTCCACAGCATCTTCTTGGGCAGAGCGTAAAAGTGCATCCATCAGTTAACTATGCTCTGTTGATCTGTGCATAATTGTCATTTTTTATTTTGGGAAATTTTCTCATCAAAATTTACACTTGTTGTTTAGGTTTTTGAATATGAATTCGCTATTGTGTTCTTTGTTTTTTGATTGCATGTCAATTTGCTCTTCCCATAATACTAGTCATAGACGCAAGCTACTATGGCTACTGGATTTCTTTTTTGTGTATGTGTGGATTATTCTTTGTATTTAAGAAAGCCTTAGGGAGCCCCTCGTATTTTTTCACACTTAATCATTTCATATCTACAATCCGTGAAGACTGAATAACAGCGGATCTATTAAAAGGTTCCATGGAAGTTTTCTTTGTTTATCATTTACAAGTTTTTTATGCTAATAATTTATGCAACCATTTTAATATGTTCGCGTATTATGGGCATTTTTAACCGATAGATGCCGATCTAATGGTCATTCTTCCGGAGAATGTTATTGTTTGCAGAGCAATCAATGTTTTATGATCTGCATTCGGGAGGAAGACAGGTACTCAAGTAAATTTGGCATGAGAGGGAAACAATAACTCGCTATTCTTTCATTTATGTCTGAAAACAAAGAT